ACTGCATTCTAAGAGGATTATTTCTTTCTATGATGCAGTAACCGGTGTGAAAGCAAAAGTGTTGAAAAGCTGCAGACGTAGTGGACATTATAAACGAAAAACGATCTGCTTATGCAAAGTCACAGTCGTGATCTCCACAAACACAAAGCTAACAATTTCAGCCTGACAAGGAATGCAAACCCCGCTAGGTTAGGATGAGTTAATCAGATTTGTCGTCGACGAACAACTTAAGCGAAAGCTCGCTTATCAGTTCAAAACGAATCAGCTGTGCAGGCGACATCCACAGCAATCGAAAACTACCTCCTTTGCCTTGAAAAATGACCGCGAGATAACGACTGAAACGTTATCTGCAAAACCGTCATTCTGGTGCTGAAACCTATATTATTTTTGCTTTGCGAAAACTCGTCAGCAAAACGGCTCCTGAAACGTCATGCTAAAAACGAGGTACTGAGGCAGCCAATAAAACGACGCAATGTACATCTTGAACTATAGATGTTTAAATACAATGAAGCCGCGGCCGGCTCAAACGGGATAGGCATGCTGGGGCAGAGGAGCAGTTGAGCCGCAGCGCACTGACAGCACCATAGAACATCATGTAATCAATTATGCAACCATTCATAAGTCTACAATTGCTACGCCATCGACTTAAAGTGAAACCAAGCGGTAATATTTTAACTACTTACCAGACAAGTCTGCTCATGTACGGTTTCAAGTGATGACCGTAACATCTGTCGATAGCTTTGTCGATGATGCTACAGTATGTTGAGTGGCATTTGATAAAAATCTTCTGCCGGCAGTGATGTGAAATCTTTGCAGCGAATGAATTTGGCAGTTCAATGGATTTGGTCAACAACTTTGCCTTGACACCCCTATTGATCGCAAGAATCTAAAGATGCATTTGTAAAAAGCAAAACCTGAAAACATAAACTGCGAAAACTTGAACCTGAAGAGCAACAAGTGATCGTGAAAATCAAGCAGAGCAGAACTAAGAACTGACTGAAACGTATTTGCAGTCTTCCTATCGATAAATCATTTTCTGCCAATATCACAACGCACCGTCGAATGGAACGGTCTTCAGTACTGATAGCGTTTCGTTGTTATCAAACCAAGAATCATACCGCAAAACTATTTATGCTAAAACTAACCGATGATGGATGGATTTCTAACTGCGTTCGCATGTATCGCCTATGGACGTTCGGGCAGCCTTTCATTCAGTTCATTGCCAGACAATGCAGTATGTGATTTGGATATTTAATGAAATTCCACTGACGATGGAAAACCTGACAGATCACTTGTACGAAAGGGCAAAATGCGTAATATGATTTGAAAAACTGCAGCCGCAAAGGTACAACACCAAATCCTAATTTACTCAAGGAAACTGTTACCTAAAAACATTGTGAACAGTGTGATGACTCATCCTGAAATACAACAAAATGGTTGCCAACAGTAACTCAGAAATGAAATAACATCAAAGTTAGAGAATATTTGTCTGCAATACGCAACTGTCATGCTGAATACTCATACGTCGCACCTCACGCCAATGTATGAGGGTATGGCTTCACTGACGCAAATGTTTCAGTAATTGAAAGAGATAACACTAGGATAGGGCCTGAAACAAAGATGTGCTTTTACATTCTGCCATGCAAATACCACATGTACAATGAATAAATTGTGTTTTGATATAAGAGAAAGTAGGGTCGCAATCGGTAATCTGATACGTTTACACCTGACGATGCAACTATCGCTCTGGCCTAATTGATTAATGGCCTTTGTCATTGCACCGCAATGTTGAATTCACTACCGTCTCTTGTTTTAATCAGCCCTGACGATGCTACTAGTATCAGAAGTAAAACTTTCCCGTTCATGTTCAACAGCTAGCGGCCGTAGCCTTTAACTACTACGCTGATAAATCATGAGGCCAAGTTGAAAAAACAATAACTTGGGGAGTGTATAATTAAATAACAATTATGATTTAATTTGCAAAGATGACGGACAAAATTTATTCTGCTTTGTTCATTGTAATACTGGTTGCTTGCTACAGCTACTAAAATATGAGAACTATATCTCTGCGTTTGCCGACAGGCTGCCGTACCATGCCATAACTTAATATGAAAATGCTTCCACCGCAAGTAACCCAAGTTAGGTTACTCAGGTACTAATATAAGCATGCCATAAATTTGCATTATACAGTACCTGGTGCGGTCGTGTGGATGAAAAATCTTTTTTGAACTTGAAATAATTCTTGTACAACCGAAATTTATCGGAATCTTCAGCTTTATCGCCACGTGCTTTGTCGACCACCAGGTTGATACCTACGCTTTGCGCACAACTAAAATTATGCCTTTATGTACAATATAAAACCGACGCTGACAATGAACACATGCAGTTCAAAAAGTTTCACGCTGACGTTCAAAGTTGCAACCTAGTCATCGTATTTTAATCGAGTCATGATGATAATATGGAAACAGGAAACAAATACTCTAATTAATAAGTATTATTAATTATTACGTCACTAGCACGTTATGGATAACAGTCCAGTACGTTCGTTTTGGCTTGTATCTAGTGAATCTTTATGAGGGTAAAGACAATGGCAGTTTTTGGCTTCTGTTACTCTTGTTATCGTTGTTTCCAGCGGCTGCAAGATGTTGGGCCATAAGGAAAGCGTTTGGTCCACGCTGATGCCGTCGTCAAGAAGTTATCTAAGCAGGAGCCTGAACCAACAGCTGGTCACATTACAGCCAGCTGTTGAA